AGCCTGAATTTTTTTCCTTTTTCCTAGAGATAATAACCTATCTCACCCAAATTTCAAAGACCACCAACGTGATCAATTCAACCTTAGATCATGAAAACAATTAAATTTTTAAGTCCTGAATTTTTCGCTGTAAATTTTCTACAGAATCCCACCTACTTCTAATCCCACTTCTTGCACTCTTACCATTAAATACCATTTAAAAAAGAAGTAATCTTTGTTTTACACTATGTTCTCTCAACTACTGTATGACATGTAGTACATGAAGTTATATTTTCATGGGAGAACTGGATCCTGGGCTGAAGAAATATTCCCTTGTTCACCAAGAGCATGTCAGAAACAGTCTGCTCTAGACTTGTATTAGCACAACCAAACAATAGAATTTTCTCAGACAGTGCATAAGGACTCAAAAATAAGCAGACTGAATCCATTTTAACACAAATATGGGCAAGTATTTTCTTTCATAAAATCCCTTCAGAGAGGAGCTAGCCCCACAACTTCATTATGATTGTTAAATCCACACAGCAGATAAGCAAAACCCCAGCAAGGGTTCAGATTAGCCAAAATCATTTGATCACGATGAGTCAGAAGGCGAATTAAGGAATCTTTTGTTTTGGCTTAAAATGTCACGGTATAAACTGCATCTGCTCAGGAGCTGACTCACAAGACTCGCAGACAATAGGGTAGCGGGGGCAAGGCGAGGACTTGGGGAGATAACCTCCGCAACCAGCCCAGGCCAGAGCGTGTGTGCTCATCAATTATAATCCAAGCTTTTGAATGCGAGAGAATAAACTGTTGGTTCGGCTTTGCTAAATCAAATCTTTTTACTGGGTTTTAGAATTTGGAAATCAATACTTTGAAAGGATTTTAAAATTCATATTCGCCTTCCCTTTGACTCATCTCGTTCCAGCTAGTTCAAACACAAGAAAATGGATGGTCAGCAAACCCCAGGCAGCTGCTGGCTGGATTAATATCTAAAAATCAAACTATTATCTACACTATCCAAGACTCTCAGTTCAGAAAAATGAAAGTGGGAAGACTCATAATCTAATTTTTTTTCTTTTTCATGCCAGAAACACTCAATAAAAATATCTTGCAATATATCAAACTTTTAGTCACTACAATAAGCCTGCAGGAAAGACAAGAAATGAGAAAATTCTCAAATTTTCTCTAGATCACGCAAAAAGAAAAAAACCTGATCAGCTCAGAGTTACTGTGAGTTTGCGGTGAGGAAGGACTATCAAGTAGACTAAATCTACATCGGTTTATCTTCCCTAGTAACAACAGATAAAACTTCTAAATGCACAAAAATGCTGAAATTGTCAGCAAAAATCAGCCTCAGAAGAACAGTCTCTGTCAAAAATCCAGCAAGCATTGTTATCTACAAAAACAATCCATTGTCATTTTCTGTATTTATTTAAATCGTGGAAGTGCACGTGGAGTTGAAACAAATCACTTTGCAACTTCTCACTCAAAACTAAAGCATGTCCTAAGCTGTCAGGGAAATGAGAGGTCTCTTGGTAACTGTCTTAAAATTGTAACTCCCATGTAAAAGTAGTATCATAGTGAAATAGTTATCATAGTTAAATCACGTTAAATGGTGTTTAAACGTGTTACTGTAAGGCCAGATTCAACACTGTTTCATTTTTGTTACTACTTTGATGGGTGTAGGATCAGCGTCTTGTAACTGCTCTGCATATGAATCTAGCATGAAAAATAATTATAGTGATAAACTACATGATCAATAGCAGCACTAAGTTACTGGAACAACTAAACAAAAGGATACACTCGCATTCAAAACTTTCCGCTGACATGACACAGGAACGATAGCACTGAATAGACACTGTTGTTCCCTGACTGTTTCAGTATCTAATAAGATTATTTAATGCAGTGGCTTGGAGTGAATGCACAGACGCAGCCATTACATTTACTGCACAGAGGATTGTAAAAATCATCAAAAACCCAACGCTGTGCCAGGCAAAAGGCAGTCTGGCAGGCCGGTGTCTTGCAAGGGCACTAAAACAGGGTGCTTGTCAGAAATGTCTTTCCTGCTTTCTCGAAGGGGCTGGGGCTGTCAGACCGACGTGGCGGGTGTCAGGCACAAAATCCTCCCCAGCTTGGTTTCTCCTCCCCTGCTTTAGGCCTTGGGAACAGGCCCCTTGCTGGTGGTTTTCAGCATCCAAACTAATACGAGGGACGGCAACAGGCAAGACAGTAGAAGATATGAATTTATAATGCGTTTAATAGACTAAGTATTAGCACTAATTCAATGAGCAGTAGGGGAAGAAATTGTAAATGACAAAGGCATTTAGAGTTAACTGTCTAAGAGAATGCAGGGAAGTAAATCACTCTGTGAAAAAGGAGCTCCTTTTCCCAACCTACCCTATTAAAAACCCCACTAAAGAGCCAAGGCATTTATTGATTGCTTTCTACTTTCCCACTGCCGAAACTAAGTACTCCTCTATTTACTTTGATTTAAAAATGCATTATTGTCTACTTCCTAATAAACCACACAGTGGAACAAGAAACTCAAATTATTCTAAGTTTATTCTTAAAAGTCCATTTTTTTGGGGTGTGTTTTTTTTTTTTTTGAAAGACTGAAGGCCTTAATCCTTAAAAGCCTTTTTGAAAGAAATGTTACTAGATGCTGGCCTTGCAGCTGGGCCCAGATTGAAAGTGCACTTACATTTTTATGTTTAGCGCTGAAGGACTCTGAAGTTAGCCCTCGCACTCCACATAAAAGCTTTGGAAAGGGCATTCTTTGCCACTCGTGCAATTCATTCTCTAAGAAAAGGAAATGGAAAGAAAGATTTCATGTCCAGGGCTTCAGGCCTTTGATCATTTGATGAACATTGGATCCTCAACCTGGGCCTCCAGCTTCTCAGGCCAGACAAAGAGGGCCCTGGCCGCACAGGCTGGGCCCCGGTTCCCGCCCGAACAAAACCCTTGGCGGCCGCACAGTGTGACAGCCTGGGAAAGGCCCACCTCAGCAGGGCTGAGATGCCCGCTCTGCCCTTTGATCTCTCATTTAAACCCCAGCCAAAGCACCAGGTCAGGGGATTTCGCGCCGCACACCCCCACGGGCAGAGGGGAGCAGGTCAAGAACAAAATGGGGGTGACCGATCTCCGAAAAGCCCTGTGACGCCTTTCTCTGGCCAGTTTCACATGACTTGTCTGGTATTGTTAGGCGCTAAGCCCACACTTAAAATGGAATTTGACATTACATGGTACAATGGAGTCAATAAATGGCATTCTTCAGTGCTTTTACAACAAAGTCAACCCTCCCTTAAGTGGCTGCAAGCCCCAAGCTAGAAAATACTTCTCATTTACTTCTTTATGTGAGTAAATTGCATATACTTTAAATCTATTTTTTATTACAGCTTCTCATTGCCGATGACTGAAATGAGACGAACAAATACCTAACAAAGGTCTACACTAATTTTACGACGTACTATTGCTTCTATTTTTAAAGACTAGGTTGTCACGTGGCATATAACAAGCATTGAAAATATCTCCGTATTCCTTCACAGAGTAAAAACCTATTTTCCAAGCAGCCTGAAAAACTAATCTCATCCCACTGAAAAATTTATTTTCAGTACACTTCCAAGTAGAAGGCAAACACACAACTTCTTTTAACATCAGCAGCAAGTTCCACATGATGCTTGCAGGCAGAAAATTAAGTCCGTGTTTGATGAGATGTGTTAGCAGAATATGGAGAGAAAAAACCACTAAACTCTTCTTTCTAAAGGGACAGGACACCACTATGTCCTACAGGACTGGGATATGCAGGATGCAAAGTATGGAGTGTATTTTTAAACTACATATAAAAATATGTCAATCTTAGAAGACTTTAAACAACTGTAAAGCAATTAGAACTTAAAGGACTAATCGTTGTTTCACTATGTAAATTAATACATGTTTTTACAATTAATCCTTTTTCTTTAAATACAAACACATATGTGCATAATGCCAAATCAAGGTGGCTTACGAACTCATCTTAAGAAAGGCAAATAGCTATATTTTTATTTTCAATCTCACAAGATTTCTCTTCCTCTTAAACTGCAGTTCTATGAAAATGTGATACAAAGATGGCCAAAGGCATGGGAAAAAGGTACAGTATACAAATAAAGCGGACTATTATGGTCTTTTTAACATATGGTCAGGTTTACATGCCCACTTTTACCCTCCTTCTTTCTGAAGACAGCATCAGTGCTAAAAATTTGGTTACGTCCTAACATACAAAGATTATTTCAGGGCATCTCAAGTACTTCCGACCATGAACCATTTACCGATCAACAGAAAGTTAAGGAATGGCCCCAACCTCTAGAGAATATAGACTTCATTTTAAACAAACAACAGTATATATTTATGCTGACAGATGATTTCCCACTTCATAAAATTACATCTCACAGATAAGGAAACTAAGCAACACAAAAGCTAAATAAATCGTTTAATATCGGAACAGACAGTGCAGAGCTGGGAACAGACCATTAGCTGATTTATTTTCAGTCCTCTGTCTTGTTCACTACAGTCTTTTTCCTCCTAAAAGACAAATGTGTGGCGCACATGAGGCCCTGTCGGTGCTATGATGGCAATATGCAGCTACAAAACAAAAAGTAACTGCGTTTGACCATCGTGCCTGGGTAGGTGACAGCAGACTGGGCAATAGTCACGAAGCAGCCCAGGACCTAACTCATATAACCACTAAATAAGGACTGTACAGCCCCAAGGTATCTTCTTCTAAAAACTATAATAACTATTTAAAATGATAAATTAAAAAAAATCATATACTTCTCAACATCACGAAGACATTCATGAAGCATTTGCTTTTGGGTTTGTTGTTTAAAATTGCTATGAAAATAAAACTTAAGAATGTTCAGGAAATAGTACAATTTGCCTCCAATTTATTCTCAGATTTTCTGTGAATATTGCTCCCCGCGTTGTCATGGCAACACAAGCACATCTTTCAGCACCGAGGAAGTAACAAGCCTTTCCATTCTCACCTTTGGCCATTTTATTGAGAACCATGTCAATTAGAATGTAGGTTCCACTTCTTCCTGCACCATCGCTGCCAACAGAAAGGGAAAAAGAAAAAATAAAGCCTATCAATGTGCATCTGGATTCAACATGAAGGTACCTGCCCTTAATGTTATACTGTTACACATGAGGGGAGAGGACAGAACGAAGGGCTAAAGTAGGACACTGAGAGGGGGAGAAAAAGCTTGCATTGAATTAACACAGGCTGTTCACGGAACATTAACTGTTACCCTGCATGGATAATAGGGCTCTGTTTTGATTTTTTTAAACCAAGTTGTGCTTATGCAATAAAAGCATTTTAAACAACAGCGGAGAAATCAGCAATCCTAGTACAGGGTACCATTTCTGTTCCAAAAGCCTACATATTGTGAGCTTATAGTCACTTGTATATGAGATCAAGAACCACAGAATAAGCTAGACCAGAACGTTATCCAGAATGGTCGCCAAATGTTGCAGACTGCATTTAAAGACAGCAGTCAGAGGCAATGCATTGAGAGACCTGTCCAAGAACCAAAATATTTGATTACTGAGGGACTGCAATCTTTCTTCACTACAGATCATGAGTGGTTTGTTTTTTCTTTTTACCTTCCCCTTCAATTCTTCTTTAGTTGCAACCTCAAGAAAAAGTATTATCGTGTAATTCCTAAGAAACAGCTTTAACTTTCATGCATCATCAGCCCTTCCTTAGAGATGTGAGACCAAGCCTTGGGAGGGTGAAAGCTCCCTGATCTGAATGCAGCTTGTGCCCTTTTCAGAGAGCAACGTGTAATTGCCAGCATGATGCTCTTTTAGAGCTGCTGTTAGCAAACATAATTAAGACTTTAAGTAAAAGCTTTTTATCTTTCCCTCCCCAAAATTTTTACAAAGGTGCATGTGTGACCAATTAGACTGGTATGTAGTTTTATTAATTAAGCCATTATTTTTATTGATAGCTCAATTTGTGTACAAGAATTAATGAAAGGAAAAATAATAGAACAGCGTGAAGCGTGTTACTACATTCTGTCTACAGGCAGGCTATGAAACTTAATTTTTGTTAAGTCTCTGTAGACAGAGGGTTTTTTTCTTTCCGTTACTAGATCACTGCTTAGAGAAAAGGAGGTAATGGTAATAATTTTTTTTTCCCTATGTCTATGAAGGGAACAAAGACACAATCTTATTAGTTAAGCTGAATAATGAGAGACAAGGCAGCGATCAGGCACAATAAAAACAAAAACTACTGAGCGGATGGTAGACATTTCCATCCATCACAGTAAGGAATGAGGAAGAAACTTGAAGGTCCTTCACGCTGCATCAAATGTTTCTTTTCTCAGGCTTCCCGACCGTAATGCAAACAAGCCTGCCCCAGAGCATTCGCCTCCCCGTGTCCAGCGGAAGGTGACTCTGTGGAGCCGCAGGTGAGGAACGTGTCCCCTCCCTCCTTGCTCCCACCCAGAGTGGAGTGCCACACGTCAAAAAACCTGCCTCTCTATGCAGGGCTAGTTTTCTATCTCCCTTATCTACAAGAGTATCTTCAATAAATAAGTGCAACCTTCACCTTATAACAGACTCTCCAATGGCAAAACCAAAACGTGAACGCTACGGTAAAGTTTTCCATTGACCTGCCCGAGAGCTCTCATGTGCATCTATCAGACTGTCAATCCTAAAAATAATCTGTGTTTAAAGGATTACTCAATCTCCACTCCCTGACATGGCCTTCTTCTTACCATGATCACTAAAAGCAAGCAAAGAAAAAATAAAACATAATTAAGCATTCATAAAATAGACTAAATTGTGAGTGAATGCAAGGAACCACTAAACATTTTGAAGAAGATTTAAGAAACTCAAGTGCTATTTGTATTGGGAAGGGTGGCCATACATTGTTCAGTCATGACACAACATCTACGAAAACACAGGAAAGGATAATTTTATTATGAAAACAGATGCTGAGTATTAATTAGCATTAAAACCCAGTTCAATTACATTTAATACCTTCAGCCTACCTCACTACCTGTTTAGTGATTCATCTAAAGCTTTAATTTGCCCATTTTGTTTACATCTATATTAAACTCTTAAACATACAAATCTCTCTAAAGCTATTTTAGAAATTGTACTTGCCTGCAATGAACAACTACTGGACAAGAGCGACCCCTGTAGCACTTGTTTACTTTTCTGAAATAAAACAGACACAAAAAATTAATTAAGCATATTACATACTGTTTCCTTAGCCAGCTGTCAAAAATAAGCAATAAAAAAAGGAAATATTGCAGTCTTTAAAGAAACAGTTAGGTTGATAGTTTCCTAATACAACAAGCAGTTGTTACATACATAGTCTTGTTTAAAGTTTGCTTCTGCTTTGCTGCTGTAGAAACCCCTGACAACATCTCATTATCGCTGTGGGCTAGGCAAAATAAACAATCTTTTATCTCAAACGTCTCATGTCTTAGCTCCAAAACTAAGACTACCTTGAGATGCTTTGATTTTGAAGCCAGCTTTGACTTCATGAGCTTGCTCAAAGAAATATTAACGGCCATCAAACTGAATCCAAAATTAAAAATGGCCATTCCAGTATACTTTGTGCAATGTGTGTCAATTTGTAAAACTTGTTCTCCCCAAACAGGCAAATACCGAATCTCCTGAAAAGCTTCTCACAAAATTCTAAAATGTAATCTATTGTGGTAAAAATAACTAAAACCATCAGTAAGCTTTACTGCTTTGGATCCAGTGCAGAAGTCTTATATAGTTAATATTTACACATTGTTGTCTCCTATAGCTTCCTGGTTAAACATTCTCAGTGGCAAGAAAATATATGTGAGGTCAATCAATGAAAGTGCAGCTATAGAACAGGTCTGCTGGTATGTAAACTCAGTGAAGGAAGTAACTAGGGCTGAAGCAAAGCAAGACAGTCTAAGAACAGAGCCCACAAAGTTGGTTTAAACCTATTTAAATTGCTTTACAAAAACAAAAATCCCAAACCCTCTCTTCTGCTCTAGGATGTATTTTGCATGTCAAGTTTATTACAGGCCCAAAAAACCGTAAAATATGCACACATATGTTAACAAGGCAAGCTGAACAAAGGCTAAAATGGGAAAGCATTGCTTCAAGAAATCAAAACCTTTCACTCAATTTTCTTGAGGAGATGTTTGACTTTACTGGAGCTAGAAGGTCTCTATGAAACCATTTCACAGGGCAGGTTTCAGGGGGTGCCCAGACACTCTAATAGTCCCCAGGTCAGTGCAAGCGTTACATAGGATGCTGACTACTAAACTGAAGTGAGCTGCTGGAATTTGGCAACCGTGGTACAGTGTTATTACGAATTTTAAAGCATAACTAACCTACTGAATCATTTAGTTCTTGGCTGTTCAACTATTCACTAACATCTGTGCTGTGAAAACATGCATGTATCTTTAAACATTGCTTATAGTATAGCTTGAAGATGCCTAAACTTCTACATCTGACAGGGAGTCAGGATACCTGGAACTCAACCCAAACAGGTTACAGAGATGTTGGTGATGTCCCATGAAACCGTGTTTTCACATTCTGCTTTTAATTATTTAAGATTCTAATCAAATTTAGTAACAATATTAAGTTCTTGTAATGACTCCCTTTAAACATTAGAATTCAAGAATTTTTCACAATTCTCACTCTTTTGCTTACTGATGTAAATCATACTTGCAGAGACATTCTGTCTCTATTCATACTCCTTGGATGTAAGTAATTAATGCAGTAGAACAACATTCTATAAAATAAGTGGTAAGTCACCGAGAAGCACCCGACTTTAGAATTTAAATGGACCATTATATGTCCATAAATACATATACATGCAGGCACTACCAAGCAAAACTTGAATGACTTAAGCTGCAGTAGTTCTCACATGAATGAATTGTTCAGTTCTTGATGGTCATATCTGAGGATCAACTCCTTCTATACAATATAAAGCCTGATTTTTTTTAATTGTACAGTAAATTATATTTGAAATGTCTGTAACATCTGATACAGTCAGTCTGCATTCCCCTACGTGCAGTTGGCCATGCTCCCCACACCCCCCATCCTGTGCCTTCGTAAAGAGTCATTTCTGCATTTAAAGTACTAAATAAAAGCTAGTAACTACAGAGGGGTATTTACCATTTCTTTTTCTGCTTGTGTGGTTCCCTTGTTGCTTGTATGGCACCACTAATATGATAGCTGCATGTTGTGACTAGCCATCTACCAAAGTCCTAATATAATTTCAATGCCAAACTTGATCTAAACCTATCAGTAAATCAGACAGCCAGAGACACATGTTAGGGAAAGTTTTCTCAAACAGTTTCATTTTCACACATTTCAGAACACACATTAAAACAAAGGGTTTCCATCCAGCTGGTTCATAGCTTTGTCTATATATAGTTTATGAAAATATTTAGAAGTGCAGCAACATCTCATTTCATTCTTAGTTCTGGCTAATGAGAGTGAGCTGAAAATTCATCAGTGAGCAAAGTTCTTGAATGTTGCAGAAAATATATATTTTATATATATATACACATATACAGGAAGAATTAACTTAGAAAGAATGATTAGTAATACAAACCAACCCTTGGCTCATTGAGTGAAAAAGAAATCATCATGCAAACCATCAGCAAGCAAAGGTCAGAGGTCGTTAGAGGCTCAGAAAAGGGGTTTCCCACATTGTCCCTGCAGCAGAGTCACAGTTTCCAATGATCACTTTTGTGACTATGCAACTGGGCTCATATTACTAGCTGCAACATCACAAAAATGACACTGGCAACCGCTAATTAGCTGGCAAAATAAGAATTTGTCCATTTTTAAAGTGAGCAGTGTTAGTAAATGCCATTGCACACAGCGAGAAGTGATAGCATAATAGATATATATTTTAAGCAAAGCCCTCACATGTGATGCTAATTATCTTTTAGCTTAGCAGTCCCTCTTTAAAGTGTAAATGTGCTCCCTCTGGGCTCAAGAAATATTTAATTACACATATCAGTGCATGACTAACAAGCTAGTCCAGAGCAATAATGATTGGTCTATTGTTCAAAATGAAATTAGGACTCCAGAAGCATTTAAAACTGACCAGGCGTTTCTGTAGTAGCCTCACCTCTCAGGGACTGTCTTTTGCACAGATTTTTTATATGTATATAGAATAATCTCTTTTTGGCAATTTATACCTACGTTATGAAAGTATGATAGATTATTCCGCAAGGTTTAATGTATCTGCTAAATGCAAAATCATCTAAAGCATTGTCTGATACATAGTAAGAGAAATGTAAGCTTTCAGTTTTCACAGAGACTTGCAAAATTTACTTCAATAAAAATTTTAAGGTCCCTATTTCCACAGACTCTGGGCAAGGTAATTTTGGGAATCCAATTTTTCTTGGTGATGAATTATAAAAAATAGAGGGTTGGTTATGTATATGCTTAATTTCATATATGTATGTGAATATATAAATATACACACATATCCATATATATATACAAACACACTGAATGCACATAAAAACATAGATAGTTTAGAAGAAATGAGAGCAGCCCCTTCCTAGCACTACCCTACTATGAGTATGGTAGTGCTGACAGACATTTATTCTGGGGGCTTTATGACTTAGCTGTTGTAATCCAGCACAGTCTGTACTTTAAATAGGAAGTTTCAGGTGCAAAACATTTATTGTATAAACAAATTCCAAATACTTTATTTTAGCAATAGTTTTTTTGTCATTAAAAAACCAGCAACATCAGATGACCAAGAAAACTGAGATTCACAGATCAGCTATTATGCATTCCAAAATTCCTTTCCAGGCGGAATTTTACTATGCATTCAGTATTATGAGTTCATTGTACAAAATCTGCACGTAGCGAATGATTACAGTACCCTACACTGGACTGTGAATACATATGAAATGAACACTCGGAATTCAATTAAATCTTAACAGGTTCATTCCCATACTGGCTTTAAATACAAAGAATGGCAGCTCCACTACTCTTCTCATCTAGTTCTAATTTTTCTTTTTCAAAGTATTGCACAACACTTCTTCAACACGGCTCTTTAACCCTTACAAAACGTCACTCTAAGCAGTGGTGTGAACTGCGATCTACTGGAGACCTAATCCTTCGGTTCACGCAGGGACCTCAGTTCTTACTGAAGCGAGCCGGAGTTGAGGAGCTCCGAACTTCAGATGTCCTGGCTGTACAGGCTCATTTATAGTTTAGTTAGAATTGCTAGGGGATTTCTCACTAACTACAAAAAGAGCGAAAGCAGACGCTGTGTTGGCTCTGTGCTGCAGCCTCGCATGGCTTAATGGAACCAATTCAGAATTTTCAGTACAGAAATCCACTACAGGCAACTTCCTCGGTACCACAAGTAAAGGGAAATCAACCTATAAAAATCACATTAAAGTCTGAACCCAGAGAAGAAAACCTTGACAATTCAGTTACGATTTCAACTCCGTCCTATGGCTGTGCTTCTTTCCTCTGCTACTGCTTTTGTGTTGCAGCCCTTGTAGCATAGTCTGACATTCTCACCTAGCCACAGCTCCTCGTGACTCAGTATGGCTGTACTCTGTCCCTCGAGGGACCGCCTGCACCGCCTGGGATAACTCTCTGCTCTCAACAGCCTTGCAATACGTGCAAGAATACAGATGGATGAAGGGTGGCATTTAGCCCTACATTTTTAAGAGTAAAATTTTGCCAACAGAGAACTGTGCAACCAGGTCCCATTGCATATATGCCAGGTTCTCCCCCCAGATGCAGATGCGCAGCTCCGACCGGCATCAGTCAGAGCTCCCAACACATATCGAAAGAAACAAGCTTGGACCTTTTGAGCACTGAGCCCCTTATAATCACTTTGGGGGGTTGTGGATAATATTGCACTACAGAGAGCAAAACACGTGATCCCAGAGGCCGCTTGCGGATTGAGAACCAACTCCCCAACCCTCCCGGAGATTCTTTTCATTAGTCATAAGCGCATCGCTGTGGATTAGCTGATACGCGCTAACACCTACACACGATGCGCTGGGCATGGTTTGCAATCAAATGAAGATTATTTCGCTCCAGTATTTATCATGCATGGCTTTAATTTTCAAATTAAAATTTAGATAGACACAGCAAACATTAGAGAAGGTGGCAAGGACTTTTGCAGGTTTTGCCTTTGTATATTTGTATTTTTAAGCCACGTTGACTTTCTTTAAAAATCCAGGGGGCATGCTTTGTCAACATTTTCATCTGCTTTCTCAAATTTCCACCCTCCTGTAACCAAAGAAGGTCTAGAGACCTCACTGTTTGATCCTTATGACCAAATGATCCAAATGCTCCCACGGGAATGCCATTATTGCCATATGACTCCACTGTGATTTTTTTTTTCGCAACGATGTTTATACTACACAATTTATTTGTGAGATTCCTGCAATAAGGATCATAGGGGAGCCACACAAAAAGCCTGGAAATTGCAGAATGGATATATACTTGGAAAACAAAGAAATACAGAAGCACCGAAGAGCTGTAAAAAGGGAGGAAAAGTATCGATCTCTAAATGGGAAATGAGTATGTCTTAAAACCAGGCAATATCTATGTGTCAGACACCACTAAACATCAACCAACTGCAGAATTTTGTGTTAGTTTAGCATTGTGGCTTCTCCGGCTGAGGAACCCCCTTCCAAACCAGAAATACGTAAAGGACAATTAAAAGGACTAGCTTAGCTCCTCAGATCTGTATCATCTTAAAGGAGCTGTCATACTTTGTGCTTTACCTGCGGAAATCCAGGAGTGATCTTGTGGAAGCAGGAACCCTCTGATCGTTCCAGCTGAGGAAGTGGAACTGTGTCACTGTGCGGGTCTCGTTCGTCTGCAGGTTCTTCAGGTAGAAGCTCCTCACGAGGAAATCCTCGCACCAGATGTGCTCAGAGACAAGGTTTACCTACACCCCACAGGAAGGAACAAACGGAGATCAGCCATTTCGGTTGCAAGCCACATCTCCAGGATGGCAGGTGTAAGAGGTCTGGGATGAAGGAATCGCACAGAAGTTTTATTTTTACTAGCAAATTGGCCATTGCTGGGAAATTTTTTTTTTTTAATTTAGCAATCAGTGTCGTTGTCAGGAAGGAAGTAGCTGCCACTGCTGTTTTACTGAAAACATAAAGAATCTTGACAGTTTTAATGCAAAAGAAAAAAAAAATCACTAAATTGAAACTTTGTATCGTTATGTGAATACAAAAGACACTGTCTGAAAATCTGTTGGCCTGGCCGTCGCCTTCTATTCGGAAACGCCCACAATGCATTGCCCAGGCTGCTCTCAGTGCTCTGGACAGTCTGAGCTGCATTCACATGAGAAGCGAAACGTCAGTTTCTTCTGCTACGTAGAAACATAAGCATTAAAAAATGCAGCTTATCTGCAGAGTTCACCTTTTCGGAAAATGAGCTTGTTCACATTTTAGCTTAAGTAACAATATTTCTTCACATTATCCTATTCTTCGTATTTGGCATTGCGGTAGTATTTTCTTCCTCTACTCAGCTGGACAACTGGAAAAATCTGACAACCATTGTCAATGGTACACTTTGACAAAACTGGTGATATGATATTTTGAGCTAGAAATGTAAAGCAGAAAATACAAATATATATTTGTTGTTGTGGCTGAGGCAAGAGGTAAAAATAGATAGCGTAAATTACTAAAGCTATATAAAGGCTTTTCTACACAGATATACATATGGTTTTCCTAAGGCAAAATCCACTAGTTCTAAAAAAAACATTTTTCTTATGAAATATAAATACACAGTTTCACGTTTCAACCACTTGCAAAGCCATTTGAAAAACAAAACTGTTGTCCTTTTTTCATGGTAATACTTGGCTCATTATTTACTAGATTTTATTCAGCAGAAACTACCTTGCTATTAGAACCGCACTTGATTTTTTTCACAAACCTACAGCTACTCGAAGGCACACGAAGAGTATTTAAGAGCCCCGAGCTCAGCCTCCAGGTGAGATTGGCTTAAGCACCATTCTGCCCCGTACGAGATCAAGCCGTGCACTTACTGCCACGTTTACAACCAGGTATTTTGTGGGGGTACCTCATAGATGTGGTAGAGGTTTGACCCTTCGTCTGGCCAATAGTGGTAGCACTGTTTGACTCCGTTTTCTGCGAGCGGTGTCAGCATGACAATAACGACACAGCCGTTCTCCCAGACCATCTGCAGACAAAGAAAGACACCGTGGTCACACTGTGAGTGCCTAATTACTGCGTGACATGTATAATTACTGCACTCAGACACACAATCAAAATTTATTCCATTCACAAGAAATTTATTTCATTTTCATTAGACACTTTTACTCTGCAGCTGCTTTCAAATCTCTGAATAAACTGGCACCATATTTTGCAGGCGTCCATGAAATATTAAAGAATTTGTAGCGATTTCAGATCGGGTCTTCCACAAAATCTCTCCTCGTTCCTGGTACCGTGTTCAGCTGCTTTTCTGTCAAACTTTCAGATCCACAAAGGGAACACTGAACAATGCTTGCAGAACACACAACTACTTGACATTTGATATTCAATACTAAAGCAGCATGGAGCTACTAAAGTCGCATCTACTGAAACCTGTTTGTGTCCTCAACCCTCTTTCTTTTTATGGTTTGCCACATAGTGAAAGCTATTAAACTGCTGCGCTGCTGAAACAACCATAAAAGTTGCATCTGAACAAGAGTAATGAGGAAAATGCAGGGAAATCCCAAACCAAATCTGTTCTTCCAGAAACATTTCAGACGGAGAAATCGTCCCTCCAAATGCACGTTTGTAAAAGATTTGTTGCAAGTGTGCATGACTGTCTCTTCTTACTTCTCTCTTTTTTCTTTTGTTCCTTTCATTTTTCCTTTTTCATTTTCTTCCTTTCTTTTTTTCTTTTTACTTTTTCTTTCTCTTTTCCTTTTTATTTTCTCTTTCTCTTTTCTATTTTTCTTTCCTTATTTTTTTGGTTCGCTCCCCTCCCTCCTTCTCTTTTCTAGCTCTCTTTTCCCCTTTTACTTTCCTTTTCTTTCCCCTGGAGGTAGAAGGGAAGTCTGACTCCTGCTGCAGACCGGGCACTCACAGAGCACAGGTACGGCAGGAATGGAGGAGAACAGTGCATCTTCACTACAGCACGGTCGCTTAATGATTTAGACCAGCCACCGAGCAGGATACAGGAATCCAGTGCATCCTCAGATAAAGGATTTGTGGATGTCTCCCACACAGCAGAACAAGCAGAGATGCTCTGGTCTGGCATATCTCTGTTCCAAACACAGCCCATGGCTGAACAAAAAAGCTCCTATGAATTAATACCAAGCAGCATAATCACTAAAAACTGTTATTACTATGCTGTACATTGATGTTATATTTGCATACAACTTTCATTGTCTTTTTGCTAGCATATAAAATTACTGAATGAAGAGTAAACTGCTCTTTTTGTGAAGGGTTATGTTTATTTCACAGAAATATTTATAAGCAACTGTATTGACATGTAAATTTTGTAAACAAAAAAGGCCTTTGTCAAAACTGTGCAAAGATGAGATGATACATTCAATTCAAGGATTATTTTTTTTTAATTACATATCAAATAAAAAGGTTTCCCATTCATAGATAATGATGTTGTCTTCTCTTTTAAGAATAGCTTGCATATAGAGAAACAAATAACATTTTTCTTCTTTTTTTTCATGTTGCAACATAATTAAAACAACTTTAAAAATCAGCTTAGAATTATTTAGAGAAATGATTCTAGGGTTTGCACAGAATAGGGTTATTTATAATTTTGAACAGAAGCAGGAAAAAAAATTACAGTTGAATGTAAGGCATAAAAATAATCTTTCTTCTTTTTTTTTCCTCTTAAAAAGATTTTTAAATAAAGATACCTGTAATCCACTCACCCTCCTTTTAAATACTCATAATGGCACAAAATCAGCAAAAATACTTTAAATTGATAGAGAATTTATTTTATAGACAGATGTAGATTTATCATTTGCATGTTTTCTGTATTGCATTTGTTTTAGGCCACAGCTGGGAACCTTCTTTGTATGTAAGGAAGATCATACAGATTTCATTCATTCTAATGTAGTTTCATCTTTTTCAGTCAGCAATCAAAGAATTCAAAACATGTATCTTACTTTAAAACTAGCCCTACTAAATCAGTACTTTCATCACATAACAATTTAATGTCCCTCTAGAAGGTATAGAAGCTCATTGAAGCCATTACGAAAATGAGGAGAAACACAGTTTTTATGAGTGTAATAAAAATACAATGATCTAGACCATAAACTAATCATCTAGCACTCTGCTTGTGCCACCCAAGTGTAACATTATAAAAGCCCACTCGTTTAGAGAGGAATCCTTACAGTTTGGCAACCCTGTTCATTGGTTCAAAGATACAGCATTTCATTAGAGAGGGGCTGTCTGCATCTCTGAAGATTTCATTAAGCATAAATCCAAATGAAAGTTAATTTAAACAAACAATTTCAAAGTTACTCTGGGGTATAATATTTCTTTTAGGTCATTGTGTGAAAATGTAGAAGTCAAATCCACCAAATCAAGCAGGCAATACAATCTAGTGCCATCATCCCTGTTACAAGCAATTGTCACTGCATCTCCCGTGCTTACCATTGAGACGGGATTTTCACCAAGACTCACAGCCTGTGACTGGAGGACTACAGCATCTTCATTGTTTCCTTGAGAACTTAAATATTAGACCATCAGGCTGTTATCTGGATTTCTTTTCAAACAAAGCAGAAGCGGGATGAGTCAAAGGCAGTTCACAGACTTTCATACTGTCGCCTCTTCACCGCCCCCTCTTTAACTTGGTGGTGGGTTTTTCAGAAGCTACATCCTCCAACACTTAACACTTTGCCGTGCTCAGTGTTCAGACATGGCCACATACTAGAAAGTGGCCCCAGGAAGTGTGACTTTGTAATGAAGGTACAGGTAGCACAGACTTGGTCTACACAATCCCAGTACAGCCTTCAGAGAAGCATCTCTGGTTACCAAAGAGACACTTCAGCTGGGCTCGGAGAACAAAGGAAGAGGTTCAGCTGCAAATTCACGGCAATTCACGTACTTCTGAGCTTTGTATGATTGCACAATAGAGAGTAACTCAATGCATAGGACATAAGAATAAAGAGAACATGAGGTCCTCGGGGCAGAGGTTCTTCTTTTTAGGTAGCGCCCAGCAAAATTAAGCCTTAGACTCCAAGTGTTAACTACTATTATGGAAATTACCATATATAACTACACTTCTTTAGATGTCTTCGCACAGGCAGTTTCATGTTTGTAATTTACAGTAACACTTCCAGGAGAAGAAGAAATGTTGAACGGAGTCTTCTGAAGGGAAGTGATAAAGTCTGAGTGACGCACAGGAGCTCACCATGGAGCTCTGCAGTGCATGCTTTGCTGAAAAGGGAAGACCGTGTATAATTTCGTGTGACGCCTCTACCTCCAGCCTATGTGCCTAGAGAGTAACATATTAATGATCTTTAATGAAGTTCTGCTGTATGCATCATCCTCAAAACATTACTTGGACAAGAACAACACTATTCCTTTCCATTTATTGCAAAGTAAAGGCTGAATCCTGCAACCCACAGATGAGCAGCATGTCTCATATCCACAGGGATCCCTGTTGATGAAATCCACCATGTGTAGAGACCTCATGCTGTGGTTATCTAGCGTGCCAGTCTCATACAAAGGACTTCCACATTGGGATGAATTACATTTAGTACGAATTCTTTGCAAAGGAGCACAGAATTGGTTTCTCAGGTTAGGAGAAAAATAAAGTCACAAATAGGAGAATCAGTGCCACAACACTGCCACAAACCCAATATAACACCCGTTTTTGAAAGCTTATATTTTAAAATTTCCTTGTTTACTAGCTTGTAAACAAAAAGCTTGTAAACAAAATGGTTGCTATGAATCCTTTTATTTTTTTCAGACACTTTATCATTTCTAAGCTTCTTTTTATACTGAATGATCCACCCCAGCCATTTTCTTCTTTAAGTTTAGTGATGGGGAAATGACAAGACATGTGCACCGACCAGACACTCTTTTTTTGAAAGGAATGGGTGGAGAAGTTTCTAAAATGTGGTGATTTACAAGTAGTAAATAGATAGGATAATAAGTTAAATCCAGCCCGTTCACTAAAAATAACAGGCTAATCACACCAGCTGCATTCTGGAAGAGATCTCCAGTAAACTGAAGACGCCATCTTTTCAGCCTTTTAGGCTTCCCAAATAGTTGGTAAATGCAAGTATTTGGAACAGCAGACAAACGAGCTAACAAAACCCAAATAATTTCTAATGATAATCAAAACTCAGCATGAATAAACACAACTCCTAAACCAACAATAAAGCAAGGTACTAGCCCTTTTTGGACTAGATAATATTAATCCCATTACCTATATTGAAAGCAATTAACTCAACTATGGCTTCTTTCAAGATCTCCACTGGAAATAGGAAACACTATTGAATAGAGACAGGCATTTTCTGCAATATTTTAAAACCAAACTCCAATTCTTTAATGGGTTTAAAAAAGGGCGGGGAGCTTTTAACTGAAAAAAAAATGGGAGGGAATTTTGATTTTTGTTATCATCTAGAACTTCACAATGTATTTAGCAATACAAAATACAAAAATACAAAAGCAAGCTTTTCTGCAAAACATTTTGGTTGAAAATGACTTAGCATTTTGATATGAAAATCAACTGTGGCAAAGTCAGAGTTGCCATTTGCAAAGTCATAGCTGTGTCAGACAGCTAAGCAAATCTATAGGTTGAAAAATTAATGATCAACAATCTCTAACTAAAAAAAATTATCTGCCTCTTGCAGTTGAAAAGATGGCTTCAGAGAGGACCACATATAAGTACGTGGTTGTCAGACTGTTGTTCTCAGTAGACTCCTAACTCAAGCCTTATTATTAAATAATGTAAATATGAGCACTATTTAGTATTGCTGTGCTGACAAAACCACATTAAGGAGGGAAAGTACACCAAAATCACCAGTAATTAGCTTTTCACTTCTGTATTGGAAAGGTGGAACCTAAACAATAAAGGGATAGAAATTTTAAAAGGACCACTTCTAAGTACCTTCTCCAACTGGAGCCATAATTAGAAGTGAGCATGTTAAATGCACACTCCTTTACTGAACGCCTATGGAATTCCTAATGCTGTATTTATTTCACATGGTTTGA